CATATTTAAACAGCTACACTGTTGAGTGAAGGACTCATCACCAGTTCAGCCTTCATATAAACCATGTTCACTTCATTTCTCTTGCTGTTGCTGGCTGCTGTGTCTTGTAAGTAAATCCCCTGAACAAAACAAACTGTTTTCTAAGTGTAAATAAATACATATTCATAATTATTTTTTAAATGTTGTGTTTATCCACAGGTATTGATTGTCAGGTTGTGCTCACACAGTCTGAACAGTCAGTAGTTGTGGCTCCAGGTGCTTCCTACAAACTGACCTGTGCCTGCAGTGGGTTTACTGTTAGTAGCACTTACATGCACTGGATCCGTCAGGCCCCTGGAAAAGGACTGGAATGGCTTATTTATTATTATTCAGACTCTAACAAAGGCTCAGCTCTGTCGATGCAGGGCAGATTCACAGCATCTAAGGACAGCTCTAATCTCTATCTGCATATGAATCAGCTGAAGACTGAAGACACTGCAGTGTATTACTGTGCAAGAGACACAGTGGAAACACAAATACAGGCAGCTGTTCAAAAACTCATCGTGAGAAATGGTGCGGACATCCAAGTTACGTAAGCTGAACATCTTGCAATCCTTACTCCACAAAATAAGCATGACACTGATACTACACTCTTAAAAGTAAGGTGCTTAAAAGGTTCTTCACAGCAATGCCATAGAATAACCTTTTTTGGTTGCACAAAGAGCCATTCAGTCAAAGGTTCTTTAAAGAACCATCTCTTTCCTACCTTTTTATAATCTGAAGAACAGGCCCGGACTGGCCATCGGGAGCACCGGGAGTATTATAAACTAGGCTTTTTTTGCATCCAGTGGGGACATAATTACTGATTATAATGACTTATACTGCCTTTTCACGCATTGCGTTGCATCCCGCCGCGTAAACATAAAACCATGTCTGCATTTGTGATCGGAGAAATTACAAACAAGCGCTACTCTACACTGCCCAAAACTCGCGTTTTAATCATTAGTGGCAAATATTTTAAATGAAAACGTACTTACAATCTTTGAGTCAGAACAGCCGGCATTGTAGTCTTCTCTACCAGGAAACAGTCCTCCATAAAATGTGCTGCACACATCTGAATATTTGGGTTGAAGTGTTCTGGAACAGTGTTGTAAATACAACTTAACCACTGATTTAGTCATGTCCTCTTTTGGAAGACCAAACAAAGTAGTTTCGCTTTCACAACGAAACACATGGCGGGCTAGAGTGAGCAGAGACCGGCAGGATTGAGAACGGCGCGGCTGGCGGATTCGATGAAGGAGCGTCGGGAGGGCTTGCGGCAACCATATGTGACGACCCCGGGCTGAACTCCGCTTCGTCCACGATGAAAGCCGATCCAGCGATCCACAGCGCAAAGTTGATGTATTTTCTCAGCGACCAGTACAGATCAGCTCCAGGCATGATGAAGCAGATATCGTCCTCTTTTGGAAGGCCAAACAAAGTAGTTTTGCTTTCACAACGAAACACACAGCGCCTTCACGACATGGCGGTGGCGGCAACAACAATACTACAGCGAGAACATTTGCGTTTCTTTCTTTGCGTGAACATTTGGGCGGCGTTATGCAAATCTTCCCACATTGTGACCTAGACATGTGGGGGCGTGTTAGAATGAGCCGTTTTAGACGTGGTTGACTCTTAACGCTCTTAACGCTGACGTTGTTGATAACAGTAGAAAACAGTTGCAAAAAAGCGCACAGAGGTATAGCTAAAATTACAATTCTGTAATTTACTTAAACTCTAGTTGTTCCAAACCTGTGTTAATTTATTTTTGCTGCTTAACACAAAGGAAGATATTTCAAAGAATGTTTGTAACCAAGCAAATCTTGGGTCCCATTCCCTTCCATAGTAGTAAGAAATAATACTATGGAAGTGAATGGGATCCAAGAATAGTTTGTATATTAACATTATTCCAAATAATGTGTTCAGTAGAACAAAGAAATGTATACAGGTTTAGAACAACTCGAGGTTGAGTAAATGATAAATGTTAATTTTTGGGTGAACTATCCCTTAAAGCCAGGTACTGTGATTGTATTGAATAAAAATACCACTGTATTGCGACTGGAACACCATGGTGCCATGTATAACATACTTTTGCTACTTTTTTGTAATACTTTTTGTAAACAGGGGGTGGAGAATTTATCAGTTTCTCCTGAGCATCTGATTGACTTCAGTGTTGTGTTTTTTAGATGATGAGCAAGGTGACCATGAGACGTCATTGCAGCTGCTCCTTCAGTACAGTGATGTCTGTACTCAGTGGGAGGTCCAGGCATTGACAGACCACACATATGCCTCAGGGGTAAAAATAATGTTACACAAGACAACACAGTTCCACAGTGAAGATCCCTTTGCCTTTGCCATTCTCAAGAATAGCACTAGCTCTTTATTGTACACTGGCTTCACCCTTAGTGTCTTTAAAGAACATGTTAAATTCTACACTTCCAATTTTAAGATGCACATAATGGATCAAAGTCGGATGACCATGATGAAGCTGAAGTTGAATTTCCTTCAAGGAGATCTTGCTGAACGCTTTGATGTGTCCCACAGTGTAGTGAGCCGAATTATCTCCTACTGGATTGATACAATGGAGGAGCACATGAGAGTTTACATTCCATGGCATTTTATATGAAATTTAGGACGGTGTAGTAATTTTGGATACATTGTGTAGTTGTTTGGAATTATTCAGTGTAACCATTAAATATACTGTTTTTACACAAATATTTTCAAGATCTTATATTACTACTTTCTCCTTATGTATGCACACAAACACACAATTAAAATGTCAAGGTGCAGTTTATTTAGATTTTTTTCCCCTACTGAAAATTATGCAGTTTAGCAATGCTAGGTAAATAATCGTCAATTTGTCACTTATTCAAAACTCATGGAACAAATGGAAAACATTCTGAATAGGGGTGTCAAATGATTAATTGCATCCAAAATAAAAAGTTTTGGATCAGACAATAACACTACTGGGATTCACATCTGCTTTTAGAATTCGCTTTCTGTTTCATGTACCAGCACTCGACCGACTTTTCCGCTGTGCAGGTACTGATATGCCTCAGTGCTTCCGCATAGAAGACCCGTCTACTCCAAGCGACAAAATTAAATAATTAAAAAGTTATGGCAGGCCACTTCTTCATTTCATCCTCCCACTGTGTTATACACCACGGGTGTGGTAAATATTGACCATCACAGTGTTTATTAGTGTTCTGTGTGTGTGTGCCCCCACCACATCACTCCTAAGCTCCTTACCTACCGGCTAGCGAAACGGAAGTTTAACACATTATAAGGAAGTACGTCAACGTATTTACTTCCACGTTGCAAAATAAAGTAATAATAACTTGCTAACCATGCTAGAAACATGCTAACACAATGCTAGTAACTTGCTAATCACACTAACCAAATGTTAACACCATGCTAGTAACATGCTAATCATGCTAGAATCATGCTACTAACATGCTAACAACATCATGCTTAATCATGCTAACAACATGCTAGTAACTTGCTAATCATGGTTACAACATGCTAGTAACTTGCTAATCATGCTTACAACATGCTAGTAACATGCTAATAATGCTAGAGACATGCTGGTAACTTGGTAATCATGCTAACAACATGCTAGTAACACCCTAGCAACAACCCTGAGTACCCTAGCAGCCACCTAGCAACACCTTAGCAACCACCCTGATCACCTTAGCAACCGCATAGCAACACCCTAGCACCCACCCCAGGTAGCTTAGCAACACCCTGGCAACCACTTTTAGTACCCTAGCAACCGCTTAGCCACACCTTAGCAACCAACCCAGGTAGCCTAGCAACACCTTAGCAACTACCCCAGCTACCCTAGTAACCACATAGCAACACCCTATCAACCACCAAGAATACCCTAGCAACCTCTTAGCAACCACCCTAAATACCCTAGCAACCGCATAGCAACAACCACACTGAACACTCTAGCAACCAGCCCAGGCACCTAAGCAACTGCAGAGCAACAATAATAACATAAATAATGTATACAGAAAAAAAGGGACCAAAATTGCACCTTTTGGGGTACAACAGCTTGTCACTGGAACAGTGCCCTTGAAAGGAAATCTTTGTTACTTTTTTACCCCTAATAGGTAGGCCTACATATTAGTACCTTAAGAGTACGAATGACTACTCTAAGGTATTAATATGTATCTATTAGGGGTAAAAAAAAAGGTACAAAGATGTAATTTTAAAGGAACTGTTCCAGTGACAAGCTGTTGTACCCCAAAAGGTACAATTTTGGCCCCTTTTTTTTCTGTGTGGCCTGGATGAGTGTGAGATTTCCCAGCCTAAAATTACATCCCAGCTGAAGAACCTTCTTTTACCACAAATAACCTTTTGTGAAACAAAAAGGTTCTTCAGATGTTAAAGGTTCTTTATGGAACCATTTAGACAAAAAGGTTATTCTATGGCATCGTGAAGTACTTTTATTTTTAAGAGTGTAATGACATTCATCTGGGAAAAAGAAAAAGCACAAATCAAGAAAAAACTTCCCTGCTGAGCTAGAAACTGTATGGAAAATGACTGAGCAATGCTGATAAACTTTCGTCATGTTGGGTCAATATCAAATAACACACCATGAGAAAAAAAGTACAAAATGTAAACATGATGAAGTAATATAACTTTGCTCAGTTATTAAAACATAAGTGAAGATTCTCCCCTTGTCTACTGTAATAATTATCAGATTACTGTGTTAAACTACAGAGCTGCAAACCTGCAAAGATGCAAAATATTTTGTGGGAAGGGTCAGTGTCTCCCAGACTCCTGAAAGACTTTGTTATAAGCTGTGTGTGTCCACAGCTGCAGTGTACCCTATCACTGTATTACTGTGGTAATGGAGATTCTATGGTACGGACTTCTGATAATTATTTCATGTGACAAACTCCCATTAGTTCTATATTACTGTTTTAATTTCATTGTTCTAAATAATCTAACATTACTTGTTCCATGTTTTTCAGCTGTTAGTGGTCAGTCTTTGACCTCCTCAGACTCTGTGGTGAAAAAGCCTGGAGAATCAGTGACTCTGTCCTGCACTGTGTCTGGATTCTCAATGAGCAGCTACTGGATGCACTGGATCCGTCAGAAACCAGGGAAAGCACTGGAGTGGATTGGGTGTATTGATGGTGGCACTAGCACTATTTTTGCTCAGTCTCTACAGGGACAGTTCTCCATCACCAAAGACACCAGCAAAAACATGCTGTATTTACAGGTGAAAAGCCTGAAGACTAAGACAGCTGTTTATTACTGTGCTAGAGATTCACAGTTACACAAAAGACAGCAGGGCTGCACAAATAATAGTTTTACTAGTTGTGGGGGTGACCGTATTTGTCTTATGCAATCTGCGATCTCCGGCTCTCTCTCTCTCCCTTTCTCTCGCTCTCTCTGTGTATGTCTGTGAGTGTTTGTGTGAAAGTGATATGTGTGGGTTTGTGTGCATCAATTAAAGCAGCACATTAATATAGAACAATGATTAAACTGACTTGGAACTACCTGTGCATTAAAGAGTTTTAATGCATACCTGCCAGCCAATCAGAATCGAGAATTCAGGCAGACCATGGTATAAATTAAAATATAGCACTGTAATCTTGTGTTTGCAGTCTCAACTGTAAAGTTTATACTCCCAGGGCATAGTATTAAATTATGAAAAGTTTCTGTCCTTCTGTCTGTCCTTAAATTATATCATCCCCAAAGACTCGTCACAACATAATAATTTTGAATTCATTCATTTTGCTTATTAAAGAACATTTGAGAGAAATTAAGCATAGGCCTGCCTTTAACACTATTAAGCACTGGCAACCAGGATGAGATTTACATGGGCAAACACTACCAACTATTCCTTCAGAAAATGCAAAAGTCTAGTATGTGTTGTTTCAAATGAATTATTACTGCATAATTAAAGAGTTTATAAAATTTCAATAGGTGTCACTGTGGAGAAGACGTATCAGCTATTAACACAATAGCAGTGATACAAGATATCAATAAATAGGAAAAACAAACACTATGCTGAATATTTTTACAGAGGTTAATAAGGGCAGAAAAATTTAAATGTCCCTTTAGAGTGCACACCTTCCTCCCCACCACCACCAGATTGTTCCCTGTCCATCCGTCAGAGGGTAGGCTCTGTCCCTGCCTTCATCTTCAGGCAGGACCAGCCAAATCTGCATCCCTAGGATTTGGACTAAGCACAGGGCCTATGGCAAAGAACTTTTCCATACAACTAGACATGAATCATACAAGAATAAATACTATGTAAACATTCACCTGCCTTTTGAGTCTTTCTGGCAGAATTATATCGCTGAGCTCTGAGAAACTGCTGCTGTTGTTCATTTGAACTAGAGCAGTGGTTTCCAATCCTGGTCCTGAAGAATACCCAAGACCCCAACACTGCATGTTTTTGATTTCTCTCTTATCTGACACACACATTTGAGGTCTTTAAATCTTTACTAATGAGTGGATTAGTTGAGTCAGGTGTGTTTGAATATAAAAGTCATAAAGAAAATCGACATGTCTCATTTTCTTCACCTTTTTATGTGCTTATATACTTATGTTGTCCCTTTTCTGTAGAAATCAATTATTCCTGATATCAAATAAAATAAAGATTAAATGGCAAAAGCATTGAAGTTTCAGATCTCTTCACTCGTTACAGTGTATTATACAATCCCTGATCTTGCAAATACATGCTACAGATACAGTATATAAAATACATAAATATATGGTTACTGCTTACTGTCTTGTCATTACCTATTTTCATGAGTCTTTAAAAAGTAACTTTTTCTTACATGACATGACTTTGCATGACAAAACCTCCCCTTTAATGGTTTAATTTAATGTTTTTATCCATAACACTGTTCTACTGTAATATTCAATATATGTTTAAGCGAATATATTTTTTCTTTGGATTAATTTAGTAGAAGATATTTACACTAAATGTGAATATCTTTGAGACTTTATTTTATAAATCAAGAATATAAAATTGTCCAACTCATTTTGCATTATTGTTAATAATTATCATAAGGACTACAGTCAGATAGATGTTTACGTCAATGCAAATCTCCACCCTTCTCTCAAGTAAACAGAAGCACACATGCACAATAAAAGCTTTTAGTTTTACAGAGCAGAGTGAAAATACAACCGGCATCATGTATTGCATATCAGTACTGCTAGTTTTGGCAGCTGCACACTGTGAGTATCACCAATGAACATTAGTTCAGATGTGGAGCTCAATTTGTATTACTGAAATGAATCTTTGTTTGTAGGTCTTTTCTGCATTGAGCTGGATCAGCCTCCTGTAATGGTTGTAAAACCAGGGGAAACATTTACCATCGCCTGTAAGATCACTGGATATTCAGCCTCAGGTGGTGGCTACAACACAAACTGGATCAGACATTCAAGTGGAAAACCGATGGAATGGATCGGCTGGTACCACACTTCCAGCAGCAATGGCGTCAAAGATTCTCTCAAAAATAAGATCAGTTTCTCTTCTGAATCCTCCAGCAACACAGTTATTTTAACAGGAAGGAATTTCCACACTGAGGACTCAGCTGTGTATTACTGTGCTCACAATGCACTATGCCACAAACTGCCACAGAACCTGTACAAAAACTAAACTAAACACATTTTTCAATAAACAGTTCCTTTTCATATTATAAAGTACATATTTTCACACAATAACCACAGTATTGCAAAATCAAAGCAAATAAATAAATAATATAGAACACTGAATGAGTCAGTTGATGTTTTAGCTTTTGTAAATACTTTTTATCAAATTCATCCTGTCTTGTAATAACCTTGAATGCTCAATTGACCCATTGTAGGAATAATTTAGATGCCAGAAGAGGACACCCTTCCATAAAAAATGAAAAAACTGATACTAGGTTTTGAACACACCCACACACCACTCTGTGTCCCCATGCAAATATATCAATGCAAACTCAACTGCCATATTTTCTATTTAAAACTAGTAAATGAGTGATTTATCTGAAGAGGAGAGACAATGTTCTCCCTAAAGGTCTTTGTGCTGTTGGCAGCTGTACACAGTGAGTGTTTTTATTTATTTTTTTAATAAAGAGTTTAGGCAGTTTTAGGGAGTTACAATGTAACACCCCATCCTATTGCATATGTATTGTGATTCTTTAGATGCGTAAATATTTTGTCTCTTTGTTTAGGTATTTATTCACAGGTTGTGCTCACACAGTCTGAACAGTCAGTAACTGTGTCTCCAGGTGCTTCCTACAAACTGACCTGTGCCTGCAGTGGATTCACTCTTAGTAGCTATAGGATGCACTGGATCCGTCAGGCCCCTGGAAAAGGACTGGAATGGATCTTACACTATTATACAGACTCTAGCAAAGGCTCCGCTCAGTCGGTGCAGGACAGATTCATGGCATCCACGGACAGCTCTAATTTCTATCTGCACATGAGTCAGTTAAAGACTGAAGACACTGCAGTGTATTACTGTGCAAGAGACTCACTTTGCTTGTTTTCATACAGATACCCTTACAAAAACACATGAGGGGGAGGGGGAGAAATGGACATGATGGGTGATTTAATAAATGTATTTTACTTTGATTTGATGTGGTTTATTAATTTACACATTTATTTTCAAATTACTCTGATGGATTTTTGCTCTTTCTTGTCTTTAAACGTGTTTAAGTTATAAATCCAGCTTAAAAAAAACATATCAGCAGTTGTCTTACTGATTGAGTTCTAATTAGATGAGCACTAACAATGTCTATAAGACACATTCAGAGCAGTCCATTTCATATTGAAGACAGAATTCACCCCAAAATGACCATAAAGCAAACCACTGTCTCTTTCCAAACCTATATGTTGTCCTTTCTTAGAAAACAAAAGAAGTGCACAAGTCATAATGACATTAATATTACATTTAATGCTATTTATTTCATACTTTTGGAGTATGACAGAAACAAACCACTTTCATTTTCTTTCTATGGAAAAAAAGCAGCCAAAATATTGACATTTTCTGTAGGCTACCACATAAATTCATTCAGGTTTGAAATGAGTAAATGATGACATAATGTGCATTTCTTGGTGAACCATCCTTCAGTATTCACCCTGTGCACACGCACATTACCAATACTCAATGCAAATTATCCAGTACTTATACACCCATCCCCACACTTGCTGTGTATAATTCTCTTGTGTTACTACACTTCCAGCAGCAATGGTGTCAAAGATTCTCTCAAAAATAAGATCAGTTTCTCTTCTGAATCCTCCAGCAACGCAGTTATTTTAACAGGAAGGAATTTCCACACTGAGGACTCAGCTGTGTATTATTGTGCTCGCAATGCACTATGCCACAAACTGCCACAGAACCTGTACAAAAACTAAACTAAACACATTTTTCAATAAACAGTTCCTTTTCATATTATAAAGTACATATTTTCACACAATAACCACAGTATTGCAAAATCAAAGCAAATAAATAAATAATATAGAACACTGAATGAGTCAGTTGATGTTTTAGCTTTTGTAAATACTTTTTATCAAATTCATCCTGTCTTGTAATAACCTTGAATGCTCAATTGACCCATTGTAGGAATAATTTAGATGCCAGAAGAGGACACCCTTCCATAAAAAATGAAAAAACTGATACTAGGTTTTGAACACACCCACACACCACTCTGTGTCCCCATGCAAATATATCAATGCAAACTCAACTGCCATATTTTCTATTTAAAACTAGTAAATGAGTGATTTATCTGAAGAGGAGAGACAATGTTCTCCCTAAAGGTCTTTGTGCTGTTGGCAGCTGTACACAGTGAGTGTTTTTATTTATTTTTTTAATAAAGAGTTTAGGCAGTTTTAGGGAGTTACAATGTAACACCCCATCCTATTGCATATGTATTGTGATTCTTTAGATGCGTAAATATTTTGTCTCTTTGTTTAGGTATTTATTCACAGGTTGTGCTCACACAGTCTGAACAGTCAGTAACTGTGTCTCCAGGTGCTTCCTACAAACTGACCTGTGCCTGCAGTGGATTCACTCTTAGTAGCTATAGGATGCACTGGATCCGTCAGGCCCCTGGAAAAGGACTGGAATGGATCTTACACTATTATACAGACTCTAGCAAAGGCTCCGCTCAGTCGGTGCAGGACAGATTCATGGCATCCACGGACAGCTCTAATTTCTATCTGCACATGAGTCAGTTAAAGACTGAAGACACTGCAGTGTATTACTGTGCAAGAGACTCACTTTGCTTGTTTTCATACAGATACCCTTACAAAAACACATGAGGGGGAGGGGGAGAAATGGACATGATGGGTGATTTAATAAATGTATTTTACTTTGATTTGATGTGGTTTATTAATTTACACATTTATTTTCAAATTACTCTGCATTTTTGCTCTTTCTTGTCTTTAAATGTGTTTAAGTTATAAATCCAGCTTAAAAAAAACATATCAGCAGTTGTCTTACTGATTGAGTTCTAATTAATGGATTTTTGCTCTTTCTTGTCTTTAAACGTGTTTAAGTTATAAATCCAGCTTAAAAAAAACATATCAGCAGTTGTCTTACTGATTGAGTTCTAATTAGATGAGCACTAACAATGTCTATAAGACACATTCAGAGCAGTCCATTTCATATTGAAGACAGAATTCACCCCAAAATGACCATAAAGCAAACCACTGTCTCTTTCCAAACCTATATGTTGTCCTTTCTTAGAAAACAAAAGAAGTGCACAAGTCATAATGACATTAATATTACATTTAATGCTATTTATTTCATACTTTTGGAGTATGACAGAAACAAACCACTTTCATTTTCTTTCTATGGAAAAAAAGCAGCCAAAATATTGACATTTTCTGTAGGCTACCACATAAATTCATTCAGGTTTGAAATGAGTAAATGATGACATAATGTGCATTTCTTGGTGAACCATCCTTCAGTATTCACCCTGTGCACACGCACATTACCAATACTCAATGCAAATTATCCAGTACTTATACACCCATCCCCACACTTGCTGTGTATAATTCTCTTGTGTTGCCACGAAGCTGAGAAGAACCACTCATAAAATCATGTTTTATCTGTTTGTGCTTCTATTGATGTCTGTCACACCTTGTGAGTTCAAATCTTTTCTCTTTCCAAACCTATATGTTGTCCTTTCTTAGAAAACAAAAGAAGTGCACAAGTCATAATGACATTAATATTACATTTAATGCTATTTATTTCATACTTTTGGAGTATGACAGAAACAAACCACTTTCATTTTCTTTCTATGGAAAAAAAGCAGCCAAAATATTGACATTTTCTGTAGGCTACCACAAACTCATTCAGGTTTGAAATGAGTAAATGATGACATAATGTGCATTTCTTGGTGAACCATCCTTCAGTATTCACCCTGTGCACACGCACATTACCAATACTCAATGCAAATTCTCCAGTATTTATACACCCATCCCCACACTTGCTGTGTATAATTCTCTTGTGTTGCCACGAAGCTGAGAAGAACCACTCATAAAATCATGTTTTATCTGTTTGTGCTTGTATTGATGTCTGTCGCACCTTGTGAGTTCAAATCTTTAAGTTTTTTTTTTTTTTTTTTTTTAGCATTTTTCAACAATTAATAACCACAAAAAATACCATTTCAAAATGAACTTGTGTGTGTGTGTTTGACTTGCAGATGTGTACAGCAGTGTGGAACACAACCAGCCAAGCTCCCTTTTGGTAAAACCTGGAGAATCTTTGACCATTTCCTGTAAAATATCTGGATATGCTCTCAGTGATACCTCTAAGGCACCTTCCTGGATTAGACACTCTCAGGGGAAGATCCTTGAGTTCATTGGCATGATCCATGCTGGTGGTGGAATAGACTACAAGGATTCGTTAAAAAATAAGTTCACTATCTCCAGAGACACATCTAAGCACAGTATATCTTAAAGGACAAAATCTGCAAACTGAGGACACGGCTGTGTATTATTGTGTTCGGTATACAGGCACTATGATGAATAGCAGTTTAATGCCTGTGCAAAAACCATGTGCACAAACACTTTGGTCTAATTTGAACATGCATGCCTTAGTTTGGATGTTGAATGCCATGATAAGACCTAAATCAACATACACTTTAAAGAAACTGTACATTTATTATTGAGTCAATTAAAATGTTAAATTAAATTACTTAAATATAAATTATATTAAATATATACTTAATATGGTTTATTCATTTACCAAATAGGTAAATGAATAAACAAATTCATTGAGTAAATGAATAAATGAATCAATAGGTAAATGAATAAGAATAACTGTTGCATTTATCTATATGTACACAAATGTACATTGATCATGTTTTATTTTTGCAGATTGTTGGTCTCAAACACTGACTCAGTCTGAGGCTGTAGTCCTGAAACCTGGACAATCCCATAAGCTCACATGTACTGACTCTGGTACCGAATGGCTTCCCAGACAGCAGCTCCGAGCCGGATCCGTTTTAAAACCGGCAAATCCGCGTTACAGTCACATCCGATTCAGTGCTGTAACACGGATCCAGCCCGGGCGCGGTTTCAGTGGGCGGGAACTACAGTCGCAGAGCGGATCCGTTTTTTTCTGGAGTTCAAATCTAAACAGAAGACCTCAAGACGATCGAGGCCGATACAGACTGCTCGCTGTTATCCTCAAAAACCTCACCAAGGTATGTCACACCGTGTGATCAAACTGTTCTACTAATACATTCATTTCTTATTATGTTGTGTACTCGATAACTTAAAGGTTTGTCATGTTTTATTTTTGCAGATTGTTGGTGTCAAACACTGACTCAGTCTGAGGCTGTAGTCCTGAAACCTGGACAATCCCATAAGCTCACATGTACTGACTCTGGTACCGAATGGCTTCCCAGACAGCAGCTCCGAGCCGGATCCGTTTAAAAACCGGCAAATCCGCGTTACAGTCACATCCGATTCAGTGCTGTAACACGGATCCAGCCCGGGCGCGGTTTCAGTGGGCGGGAACTACAGTCGCAGAGCGGATCCGGGCCGCGTCAGTGGAAACAAGCGCGCGTTTTTTTCTGGAGTTCAAATCAAAACAGAAGACCTCAAGACGATCGAGGCCGATACAGACTGCTCGCTGTTATCCTCAAAAACCTCACCAAGGTATGTCACACCGTGTGATCAAACTGTTCTACTAATACATTCATTTCTTATTATGTTGTGTACTCGATAACTTAAAGGTTTGGTGTTTTTATTGCTCCTTAGATCTGTGTTGGACTGTACTGTTGGCGAGCACCTATGCCTGTGTTATCAGAGGACCTGCGTTCCAGAGGTCTGTAATTATCCGTAATTAACGGATTTTAACTTAATTACTTAATTTAAACTTTAGTAATTTTAACTGCTTCTATTAATTGTAATTGTTTAAGATTGCTGCGTGATAATTAGTGTGATGAGCTAGCAATGTTAATGTTTAAGTGCTAACCCTTAAGGCTGCATGCATTTATTTGATCAAAAATAAAGTTAAAACAGTAATATTGTGAAATATTATTACAATGTGAAATAACTATT